TTGCCTGAGCTGTCGAACACCTGTTCATCCTTCTATCTCCCCAGAGCTAGGCTTGTGCCAGCTGCAGCTACTGCATGCTACTGCCGAACTGCTTGACTGAGACTGGCAATGATTGGGAGGCTGTGGCTTCAGACTAGTATATGGGGTGCATTTCCGACTGCCTTGGATCGAGCCCGTCGTGGAGGTCTGCCTCTACGAATGCTGACACCTGCACAGGCCAAACACCACCGTGGTAACCGTGCATCTCAATTGAGCCGTGAAGGCTCACATGATTCTGCCTGCTGTCCCCCAGTAGTCTGAGTTCCACAAGGGAAGATCAGCAACCTGCATCATTCGGAGAAGTTCTGAGGCATGGTTTGTGCTCTTTGGCGAAACATGTAGTGCTCAAGAAGACAGAATGCTTCAGATTCGCAGGCAGCTGCAGCAAGAGCAACACCACGCTGTGGACAATGTTGCAGAGCCCTAACTAACACTCGAGGAACAGGGAGTCGACATGCCCATTGCAGCAGCATTTCTGAAAGTATCTACGTCACTGGGCAGACGTGATGTTTTGCGAAGCATTGGTGAACTGGCAAGGTCACAAAGGAAAGCAAGACCAGTGCGCCCCCATCAACCAGAGATGCGGACAGCCCGTACAAGGCGGGCACAGAGTTTGGAAGCGACGGTTATGCCGCCCATCCACCAACCAGTGAGGATCCCCGTCGACTGGGCGGTCTCTCTGCAGGCCGGTTCGAGTCAAAGCGGTAGGCTGTCGAAGGCCGGGGGGGGTCCCCGGGGGTTGACGTGTTTTACTCAGCAGGGGCCTCGGGCTCTGGTGGACTGCGCTTAAATTTACGGTCACCCCCTGCCCTGCTTTTGGACGCAGTTTTAAATTAAGCATTCAGACTCAGGACCTTGCGCCTACCGCGCGTGCTTTCGGGCGCGTGCAAGCCGGGAGTGGGGGAGCAGGTGATTGCACTCATGCGCGCATCTAAGTGGGAATTGCTTGTAGTAGTCTTGCACTTCTTGCATGTATCGCTCGCTCGTGTGCTCGTGCGTTGACGTTCTCATATTCGGAACTGGTCTGCGCGCGATGCTCCCTTGAATGTAAAGTGACTTGTTTGGTGAAGCCTGCAGCCTCAGATGTTGATCCTGTACTGCAGGGAACACATTATCCCATCCACGGACGAATGTCCATGGAGCTCCGGGCCGGCCGAGGTGCGCACATCACAGTATATCACAATCATCCTGGGATGCAGCTGCGTGGAGCGCAGCTCATGTGACAGAAAGCATTAACCAGGTGGCATGACAGCAAAGCAAAGCGTTGAAAGCTGGTTCTGCAGCAAGTCAAGCAGGGTGTACTGTATCCGCCGAAAGCAGCTGAGTCCCGTGGGCGGAAACAGGAGCGGCAGGGTGATGACTTCCGTCTAAGCGACACCGCCACACACGGGCACGGCAACGGCAATGAATGTCGATACGAGCCGGGAAGAACGGACAAATCAAGGCATGTGATGAAATATGTGCCATCCTCACATGTCCCCGCAGCTATGAGGAATGGGGACCTTGAATCATGTCAACGTCTGCCGATAGCTTAAGACACCCATGGCCCATGATGGCCCATGGTCATGATGCGGAAGAATAATACGACACATTATGTTTAGAAGCAGTTGAAGGTTCAGGGGGTTATTTATGTTGTAACCGTTCAGGCATGGATGCCCTGGCCAAGAATGGACAGTAGCACGCATGAAATCGTCGCTCGAGCATGCCCTGGAAGAAGGGCGCGGATGCTACCATCGTAAGGGCATGGATGATCAGGCCAAAATGGACAAATACACTGACTGCACGGATTTGATCAGTGTTCATGCTCTGGCCAAAGGATGCAATGATATGCACTGGTAACATGGACATCATTGCATGGATGCCCTGGTGGCATGGACGTCATCGGATGCCGCATGTTGCCGTAACATGAACATCTCCAGGTGTCTCCATGGTATGGTTCAAGAGCGTGTCTCGGAGAGGTCCAGCCGCAAGCAGGCGACTCAGATCTGGTCAAGCTACGAACACAGTTCGGACCCACCAACGACAGCAAGGACAACGACGACCCAACTAATAGCAACGACGGTGACAGGCAGAGGTCAATCCGAAACGTAATATAATGTAAATTAATGTAACATAGATCAACCTACAGTTTCGGAGAGCAAAGAGCCGAGGCATGTTGTCTATGTGCTGAGAAGTATGTTGCAAGCCTGAAGCAGAAGTTACCCACGGTCTTGGGCTCTGAGCGAACCTCAGCTCCCCACGCACAGCTTGGCACATGCGATGCCTACTTTGCGCCTGGGACAGGTGATTCACGCAGGCTGGTGTAACAGGCTCCGTACTGAAGAGCCATAGCTGTACTTGAGACAATCCTAGGCTGAGACGTATGGGCAGGTTCGTGCAAGCCGGGACTCAGCTTACAGCTACGCTCTGGACATCCGACCTTGATGCAAAACTCGATCTCGTTTTGCATGACGGGAGGCCTTGGCATAAAGGCTGAGCCGGCTAAAGACACACACACACGCAGATATGCACATATATATATATATATATATATATATATATACATACAAGAAACAAGAACACAAAAACAAATCCTTCCTCTCTAAGCTCATCGCAGATTTTCCCTGTTGAATTCATCCATAACAGATCCCTGAACACTTTGGAACATGTTTGAGCACGTCAAGCTAAGACATCAGAGTGTCTCGGATCGGGCAGCTGCGGCTTGCGAGGTGCCTCCGGGACATCATCATCGCGGACCCTGTCCGCAGACCTCCCGATTTTCGCAAACTTGTAGTCCGCGTCCCCAGCTTCCCCCCCATCCCTTTAAGAGCGTCCATGATACCACCGTAAGAACATCGGTGCTTGCACGATAAGAACGTCCATGCTACCTAAGCCTTGAGCATCCAGTGGGCAGCGGCCAGAGAATCCATGCCCCCATGAATTGAACGTCCATGATACCAAACGTCCATGCCAGCACAATGAAAACGCCCACATTGCCACCGCGTCCCACCCGCCGCTTCCACCGCGTTCCTAGCGTCCCGTGCTGATCGTGCTGATCGTGCTGCATTCACATACAAGGACTCGCCTTGTTTAAACGACTTTGCAAGCTGTCACTGGCAGAAGCTACTTAGCCTCGTGTATGGGTCCAGCACCATGGGCCGCACCTGTGGTGCCTCAAACCAGCAAGGGACATCAAGTAATGTAGCCGAACTTCGCTACAGCATGCTACAGCAAACAGCAGTTGTCCCGGGCCAGGGCCTGTCGGTGGAGCCCGACTGGTGGTGGAAACTGCGCCTTCTAGTGTGAATTGCGCACCTTTTTCCTTAAACTGGATTGAGAGCCATTGAGAGCCATTGAGAGCCATTGAGAGCCACATGAGCCAAGCATCTTCAAGCCTTCCCGTCTAAGTGCCCCCACGCAGCCCCACCACCCCCAATGCCTCCACTGAACCCACCGCCCTGCTCTGAGTGCTTGCCCCCCCCCCCCCCCCCGCGTGTAATTGCTGTAGATGAGTGTAAGGCAAAGTGCTCCATCGCCCACCCCTGCTGTGAGCCCCCGGCCAGTGTTGCCACTGCTGCCTCGGGCCATTGCACTTGCTGTGGATGAATCACGCCCAAACCCACCACCCCCCACCGCCCCCCCACCGCCCCCCCCAACCCGCCCTCACAGCCCTCACCGCCCCCACTCGCTCCCGGCCTCACCCCCTCACACCTCCTCCCCCACCACCCCCACCGCCCCCATGCCCCCTCTGGGCCCTGCACTTGCTGTGCAATTTCAAGGCTCCAGCGTCTTCACCGCCCCCACCAAAGGGCCCTTACACTTGAGGGGTCGGCGGCACTGGCGGTAGCCATTCATTATGACAAGATTTATGTCAAGATCAAACAGACAAGCCATGACAAGCCAACCCAGGTCATGCAGTAGTCCTTGCCTGGTTTTCAGGAACGGTCCCCATATGAGCCTGTCATCGCCAACATGCATTGACATATGTGCAATGTGTGCAGATATTTTGGCACATTGCTGCGGAACACCCTCTGAAAAAGGATGCAATTTCCCAGCCCGCGTGTCGAGAATCCCGAAGACTTGTAAAAAAAAACGATGCTTGTGCAAGTCCATGGCAATGCAGTGGGAGTACTGCATCGTGACATCGCCTCAGCCCCCTTTTGTCAATGAATCCCACCGATCAGAAAGGTGCACACTGGTGCGTGCGAACGAAAAACCATTAAACACGCCAATGCAGACGCCAAGCTCTGTGTCCGAGGAATCATACGCATCAGCTTCTCGAAGGCTTCTGTCGAAATGATCCCCTTGCGCAATTCGACTCACTGCAAGTTTGCTAGCAATGACAAGAACAATCGTTCAACTTCGCAATAACTGCGCCTGGTAAGGCAATCGGTGCTGCTGGGCGCACTGGTGGCACCTGACGCTTCGACATCCTGTCTCAGATTACCTCAGGATTGCGGTGCTCCGGACCTGATCAACATCCACCAGCCTTGGAGAGTCTGCATCAGCAGGCCTTGTGGGAAGTCATGACATCTGGCAGGATCACTCTTCAATTTCCAGAAGAGTTTGCAGCGGAATGTCGGAGTATCCTCCCCCCAATCAGCTAAGCTTTGGCTAAGCATCCAGCTGAAAATCGGAGCCCACATCAGCCACTCCACAGTCAAATTTCATGCTAATTGAATTAAGCAATTTCTGTACTTAAGAGTTGAACAAGAGTTGTACTCAAGTAGGTGTTGAAGTGGCTCGAGTATGTTGCTTCAGGTTCGTTCACTAAGAGGCAGAGGCTGAAGTTGTGGAAAGGGAAGCGCGGTCTTCAGCAAGACCGACAATCTGCCTCAAAGAGTCCCATGCTGTAGTTTCGTGAATCTCGGGGGCTCTCTCATGAGGGCTTGAGCCAGGCTGCAAGGCCGCAAGCTGTTAGAGAACACGGGCGGCTAGCACGAGAAATGCTCAGGACTAAAGACTTGAAGATGGTATCCCACCTCGTCCTCCACCTCCTGCAGGTTGGCAAAACTTGTAGACTAATCAGCTCGAAACCAGAAGGACATGCAGCATCTGAGGATGTGCCTCTTTACTCTGCGAGGATGTCTTGTCTTTCTTTCCAGCCTGCAGTTTCTGTGCATATGTGGAAGAACTGCATTTCCAACCGGACCGCCTCAGATTTCTCCTTCACACCCTCCAGCTGATACTTCTTGGGTTCCACTAAAAGGTCGCGCATCTCCTCGAAGAATTGCATCAGCAGATGTCATCTTCTCTACACAGGCTGCAACTTGGCGCCTCCTTGCACCCTGTCCTGCAGCAACCGGAAACGTTCGGCATCTCCGCCTTTGTCCGGGTGCAGCTCCAGGGCCTGAAGAAGACTCGCTTGACTGTTCCAGAGGCCATCAAAGCATCCAGTACAGAAATTACAACGATGTACAACAGGCCAAGTGAACAGAGAATTTCGTAATAAAACTTTGAACAGTGCGAAGGGGCAAATGCGGTGTGTTGACTCCAGCTTGGATGCCAAAGTTGCAGTGCCGTACCAATGTACTGAACACCTTTTTACCTCTGGAGTATGCACAGCACATCTCGGCATCCCGCTCGCTTCTTGAAGGCCTTCTTGATGTCTTCCTCAAACGTAACGAGAATCAGAAAAAGCATCATCAAGAGACTCTGTGGGGCAACAACGGGCAACACCCTGTCCGCATACCCTCACGAGAGCACACTGCACTTCGGCCCCTTCGGGCCTGGCTCGCCCTCCCTTCGCCAACCACACCAAGGAAGGACCACGCGGCTCGGCGTTCCAAAGTCTTCAGGCGCCCGCTCGCCTGCCAGCCGGCGAAACCCGGAATAATCGACGAATAGTCTGGCTGACCAGCACAGCTAGGAAACATTCGCCTCCTTTCACAGGAGAAAAGTTGCGAGAAGTAGCTATAGAAGTAGCTATGGAACACTTCATTAGTGGTGAGAAGCTCGGAAAAGTGAAGATACAAGCCTACTTGCCGCTAGTGGAGTCCGCAAACTCTGCACGCTCCCGACATGTGTCGCCCGCCCCCAATACTCTGCATTACATATGTATAGCTGCATGATGATGATCCTTGGCGAGTGCGTAAGTGGCGATGATTGCCATTGCAGAATGCGTGATGATCGTGACGATGACTATGACTATGACTATGACGACGATGATGATGATGATGATGATGATTAGGATGATTAGGATGATTAGGATGACGGTAAGAGTAATGCCGATGGCGGTCATGGTGCCGGCAGTGGCGGTAGCAGTGGAAGTGGCCGGCGGCAGGTCTTCGACTTGCAGGTCCTGGATTCCCCTTTGTCTTTCCTGGAATCCTGCGAGCACCCTGAGGAGCCATGACGCTGCAGCCGAACACAGCCGGCGCTGGCTCACTACATCATGCGGATTTATTTGGCATTTAAGGCCATCTTCAGGCTCGCGCATCTCCTGACGCATCAGTTGCCATGACAGATCAAAGACGCTGCATTCTCGCTTCAGCCTTCTCACGCCAGTCTTGCATGGCATGTACTTCTTCCTGCAGGTCCTGCGTAGGCTTGCGTAGGCTGGGGACCACCACCAAACTTCACGCAGAGTCTTGGGCACCTCATTGCTCAGGCGCTGAATGCGCCTCTCCAAGCCTTTCTTTCTGCTGGTCAGCTCCTGCTGAAACATTGGAAACATTGGAACAGCAGTAAACTGCATGAACTTCAACAAAATAACACAACTCCAACATGTACTCTCCTCCATGAGGCGCTTCGGGTCCCAGGCACCATACCTTGGCATCTAGCTTGCAGCTTGCAGGGTGTCATTTTTGTGTTGCTCAGGTCAGAAGAAAGGGGCACACCCAGACTGGGCTCATGTGGGCCCCCGCTTCATCTCCATGTCAACGCGGTCCAGCACACCTCCTTTCGCCACCCGTTTTGGGTGACTGGAGTACCTTCACGACCGCATGTGCCGCATGTGTCAACAGTAACTCCGCACGAAAAGCGACAAGCCAAGGTACCAGGAGCCGAGGGCACTGAGGCCGCCACTCTAAGCATCCCTCCTCCTCCAACCCGGAAACTCGCCCAAGCAGAGGCAGCACGACTACTCCAGGACCGAAGAGTGTGACTGCCTAGCAGGCACATGTTGGGTATTTATCCACTTTTGGTGCACTTGGGCGCACAACCCACGATTCTGACTTGCTGCAGCCGTGCCTTGGCCATGTCGTGGCCGGCATGCCAGATAAGCAGATCGATTGATCGACCTGCACAGGCACAAAAAAGGACAAAGGAGCTGAAAGGGCGGTTTCTTTCATGTGGGTGGCGGGATGCTTGTTTTATCATACCTGACAGGTCGTCCTAAGTGAGACCATCTGCTCGCTTAGATGTTCGTGTAAAATGCCAGAGCCGAGAGTTAAGCTCCCCAGCCAACATCTCCATTCAGCTGGGAGGGGAGTTGGGAAAAAGCAGTGGTCTATGTGCACACACCACGCATAAAACATAAGCTTCCATTTCATTCCGCTTAGGGGCTTAGCAGCCAACATCTCCCTTCAGGGCTCCAGATTTCTCAGCCAATATCTCGCTTTAGGGTTTAAACGGTTTAGAGTTCACACCTCACGGAGTGAACATCTCAATCCCCCATCAGGGCTTAGGGTCTAGAGTCTGGGGCATCTCGCTCCCCATGAAAATGCCTCTTGCAAGAATTCGAATATCGGGAACATACGGGTGCTGTAGGATCATGGGACTGGGCAATGTGGTGTGGAGATATCGGGATTCTCTGGGGGCGGGATACTCTGCAAGATTCTCTGCAGGATTCTGTGACACTCTGCAGGATCTCTGCTGGCTCCGAGAGTGGGCACTCGGGCACTCCAGGGACACTCGTACCCTTGCCACGAGCCGGAGGCCGAGGCGAGGAGAATTGTTGAGTCATGTTGAGTTTGTGTCTGACAATCGGAGGACGCATCAACCAGCAAAACTGATCTCTGAGGATGCTGGCTGGAGGTTTGATAGCTGTCATCTCTGCCATCCTGGACCGACCCCTCCGAGGCCCACCCTTAGTAACTCCCTTCGGGCTATAGGGGAAATGGCCGGACATGGTGATCTCAGTGATCTCACATGCTGTCTTCGCAGAGGCTTGAGGCTGGACCCCAGCGGCGTAAATCAACGTCCACTCCTCGTGGACCACGAGTGCGCCCTGGGACTGCTCGGCACCAACCTGGGCAAACGACTTCACACACATCTAAGTTGAAGCTAGCCACGCTGAACAGCAAAAACAACGGCCGAGCGCAGAACTGGAGAAGTCATTGGTGACCATGAGACACCCCCAAAGCATTGCTTGCGTGCAGAACAGGGCCAACCGACAGAATAGAATAGACAGAACTGGGAGAGTCTCGCCTGAAGCCCTGCTACAACCAAACTGAAATTCATTCAACTGGTTCTGGCTTACACAAGTGAGTTGACCTGGTCATGTCTGGATGTGGACTGCACATGGTCAAAACTAAGCTCGGACATTCGGACGGGTCGTGGATTCTTCGATGACCAGGTGGTGCATCCGGCTCTGGCCGTCCCCGGCTTTGGCCGTCCCAGCTTGCACATGAAGTAGCATTCTGGAGCAATGTGTACACGCGAGTCCATTTTCGATGAACAAGCCCGTTCAAGAGCATGCATCAGCATGCTTTGGCATGCTGAGGCATGACCCGGCACGCTGCTCAGCTTCAGTCCATCTTGTTCAGCTTGTTGAGAATGGCCTGTCGCTTCTGCCACAAAGGATCCTGCAACCAAAGCCAGTCCGTCATAAACACAACATAACACAACAGTGTCAGGATCTCCTCAGTGGGACCAGGCCGGTAATAGTCACTGTCCGAGTCTGTGTCCTTTGTCAGTTCGCAAAAGTTGCCGCTGCAGAAGTGGACATTGATCAAATTTAGTGCAATCCTGCGCAAGTTAGTGTGCAGACGACAGACTCCGTAGCTCGAAATCCCGGCGTCTGGAGGCTCCTTCGCCACCTCTATGGGGCATGCTTAACCGAGGGTCATACGGCGAGCCAAGGGCAAAATTTGACCGCCTGCAGGTGTTGTGGTGGGGCAGGTGCTGCAGCGCTGGCTGGGCACCCCTGAAAAGGCAGAGATCTCGCTTCAGCAATTCACCACTAGGCCAAATTCGGGGAAACACGAAGTTGAGTCCTTCGAGGTCATTTCATGCACTCGACCTATACCCAGTTTCTTTAAAGGTGCGGCTCGGGCTTGTTGTTTTACTGTTTTCATACGTAACACCACAGCTTTTGTGCTGTACAGAGCTATAAATCGCATGTTTTCATACGAACAACCACCGTTATTTGCTGTACAAAGCCATAAATCGCGTTCTGGCCGAAGCCGCATGCTCGGAGTCGCTGTTTTCGAACGAAAACACACAATTCTAGTGCTGTAATTACAGGCTGCAAATTGCTCGGAATCGCCGTTTGTCCTACGACAAAATGCAGTGTTTATGGCCCGTATAAGGCTTTACTTTGCCGAAACAGGCTGTGACCGGTATAGGAATGTATTGGACCCGTTCTCAGGTTCAATACATTTCCGGTGGCCGGGAAGCCTGAGCAAAGCCCAGGCCCTGGCTAAGCTCTATATTGGGTGGCCTGCATGTAAGAGCTCCTCCAGCTCGGAAATGTATGTTCAGGATTCACCTACTGTGCCATGATATTTTTATGCAATGACTTGCCACACAGCGCCCACTTTATCTTACTTTTAAAAAATGCCTTTTTTTGTCCGCGCGCCCTAAGCCTGATACAAGTAGGATCCACGAACCCGAATGCGCACACGTGTCACTAACTTCGGCAAGAAAGATACCACGTGAAAACACGACACGAGGCGACACGAGAAGACGCGACACGAGAAGACGACACGAGGACACGCCGCCCTCAAAGACTCGCCAAGACCCGCCTCGTGTGGAGTTCCCCCTTAGCTTGCCGCCCCCAAAACTTTGGAGTTCCCCCTTAGCTTGCCGCCCCCAAAGACTCACCAGGACACGCCTCGTGTGGGGCGACCCCCGGCATCCCTGTGATTGTTGGCATGCTTAAGATGTTCCCAAAAAAACGACCATTTTGAGCGAGTTCCCCACTGCCCGGAATCCGACACTCGCGAACGCTTGCGGACGCTTGCCAACGCTTGCGGACGGTTGAGGACTCTCGCCAACGGACTCTCGTCGTGGCTGCGCAGGGATGTCGCGTCAACTCCCTGAACCTCAAAACGAGAACCCTTCTGCAACGCATTCGGGAAAAACATCCTCAAATCAACCCCCCCAAACATCTGAAAAGAAATCCCTGAGTCTTGAAGAATTTCAAAGAGAAGGCTTGGCGACTGAATCAGTTTTGCCTTAGACGAAAACCTGCCCGGCAGGTTTGAGCTCATTTGTCAGACCCCGCCAGGAATTGAGCCAACCAGCGAACAGAAAGGAAACAAAACGAGGAATCTAGCATCAATGAAAAATGGAGCGATACATCGCGAAAAATCGGTTCGAGCTTCAAAAGCAACCGACCCTTCCACACATTCCGGCTCCTGCTCTTTCCCAGAAACACATGAATACACTGGGGGATCACTCAGTGCTACAGCATGCATGCAGGAAAAGCGGTGATGACGGCAGCATGACATGGATGACTTAGCAAATGCCAAACTCAAGAGTGAGTCCTCCTGCCTGTCCCGCCAACGCAGCTTGAGACTCAGGAAACGATGTGTCCTGTCGCTGGTGAATTGCTTCGACGAGTATGCAGCTGCTGCATCTGCTACTCCCGCTTGATGTGTGTGCGTCCTCTCCCTGCAAATGCTGCTGATCCTCCATCTCTGCAGATGTCACATTCAAGAGAAGAGAGGAGGCCTCACTGCGAACAGGGGCCTATGCCGCCCACCCCCGCCCCAATGCAAATCATGTAGAAGAAGCTCTTGGTTCCGCAAAAGCACACCCCACAGCATGTAGGAGCACAGTGTAGTACCTCCGTGCCACATATATAGTTGTTTCGATTGTTCCTTTCTTTGCCTGCAGATAATTGGGAGGGGGCGGGCTCAGAACACCCAGCCAGGGCTCTAGTCGAGATGGGGTTGAGGGATTTTGGAGACCGACGTGTCTGGGCAATGCATTTTTGGCTCATCAAAACTGCATCGGGACATGCGCTCCAAGTCGGGGCCTGGAGGGGGGCCAGACCCCCAAATGCGGCATTCGCGGGGTTCGGAACCGACCTGTGCTGTCTTGGACGTCCCCCCACAGAGCCTTTGAAGCCCAAGCGCGGGCAACCTGCATTTGTTCGCTGTCATTTTGGCTCCGTTTGGGGTCACACATATTATGATTCGGGGACTTGGATGGTCCGCGCAGCCCAGTTGGGAGGGGCCGCAACCCCCACGGGCCCCTCGCAGCGCGCCCCCATGACCATCTACAAATCAAGCCCGTTTCAACTTTACATCAGCCTGCCGTCAAGTCCCTTTAGTCGCCAGAATTCAAGTACGGAAAGAAGTCCTCAATAATCCCTATTGACGGCATACTCCAACAGTCTGAATTCTGTTCTGCATGCATGACATACATGTTTCCAACATTCTCCAACCTTGCGACATCTCACAACTTGTCATTGGCAGCAAGGCTGAAGTAGAGAACGGATGATAACGGAAGGAGGCTTCTCTCTGGGGTCCAGCACCGAAGGCAGTGTCACCATCTCCTCTTCATCGTCATCGTCCGGTTCCTCCGTGAGAACTCGCTGGTCCTGCGCCGAGCTTGGGGCCTGAACATGCCCCTTTCGACATCATGTGCTTCCAAAGTACTCTGACCTATGAACACGATCATGCCGGACCTGTCGTTCGAAATCAGGCAGCTGTGGTCCCTGGCAGTTCAACGAGCAGCTGGCTTGAACCCGGCTTGCATTACAGCCTTGTGGCTTCTACGAACCTTGCTGACATGGATTTTGCCATACAGCCCTTTGTGAATTTTGTGCGCACCAGAACTGGCAGCGAACTTTCCGCAGTGGCATTCGATCTCGGCCTTGCGAGCTCGACGTGCTCACGGCATCTCGCGGGTGTCTACATGGCAAACTCCAGCCTCTTCAAAACCGCTCTGTCCTCACTCTCTTGACCTGAGAATGCACCAGACTCTATGTTTCAGTGCTTGCATACTCATTGGTCACTAGTGACTAGTGACCAATGAATATGCAAGCGTGGGCGGCGGGCCTATGCGAGCTCTCCGCCGTCCATCTG